GGGCCAGGGGCCCCCCCAGGGGCCCCCCCAGGGGCCCCCCCAGGGGGCCCCCCAGGCCAGTGCAACCACATATGAAGCTAAGGCGCAGCAACGCAGAGGCCCCCAGGAGCTCAACACCCCACAGGGGCCCCTAGGGCCCCAGGGGCCCCCAAACATAGAGCAGCAGTGGATTGAGGGGCAGCTGCCTCAGGGAGTCTGCAGCAGCAGCAGCAGCAGCAGCAGCAGCAGCAGCAGCAGCGGTGACTTCGCGCAAGAGCCTGTGAACGGGAGCAGCAAAGTGTGGGGCCCCGAGTGCTGCGTTGCTGCTTCTCTGGCCAGTGGGGAGAACTTTGCTGCTCCGCGGCCCATTGCTCCGTCTCTGGCTGCTCTTCTGGCAGTGAGCCTCTTTGCTGCTGCTGCTGCTGCTGCTGCTGCTGCTGCTGCTGCTGCTGCTGCTGCTACCTACTGGCTGTCTAGTGCGGAAGTGTCGCTTGGCCAGAGCTGAAAGCTGTAGCCGCAGCAGCAGTAGCAGCAGCAGCAGCAGCAAGAGCAGCAGCAGCAGCAGCAAGAGCAGCAGCAGCAGCAGCAGCAGCCGCAATAGTGTTTTGGGTGCGGACAGTTTTATAGTCGGAGTGTGTCTGAGCCGCACATGGTGCTGGTGCCGCTAGCCGCTGCAGTTGTTGCTGTTGCTGCACCCAAGTTACCGCTGCTGCTGCTGCTGCTGCTGCTGCTGCTGCTGCTGCTGCTGCGGTTTGCTAGGACCTGGAGGGCGACGTTAATTTGCTGCGGCTGACCACAGCAGCCCTCTCTTGGAAAGATCTCTCTGAGAGAGGCCAGCGAGAAGCAGCACCAGCTCCGGGGGCCATTCCGGAGCTGGGGGCCTACTGGCTTTGCAGGCAAGCAGCAGCAGCAGCAGCAGCAGCAGCAGCAGCAGCAGCAGCAGCAGGAAAGGAAGTACTAGCATCAGCAGCAGCAGCGGCAGTGCGAGCACTAGCAGCAGCAAGAATAACAACAGCAGCAAGAAGGGTAACAGCAGCAGCAGCAGTAGCAGCAGCAGCAGCAGAAGCAAGAGCAACAGCAGCACCGACTAGGAGCAGCAGCAGGAATAGAAATAGTAACCCTAGCTGCAGCAGGAGCACCAGCACTGGCAGCAGCAGCAAGAACAACAGCAGCACCTGCAGCAGCAGCAGTAGCACTCGAAGCAGCGGCAAGAACAACAGGACTAGCAGCAGCAACAGTAGCAGCAACACTAGAAGCAGCGTTGCTGCTACTGCTGCTGTGACGAGAACAGCAGCAGCACTAGCAGCAGCAGCAGCAGCACTAGCACTAGAAGCAGCAGCAAACAGCAGCAGCACTAGCAGCAGTTCGGCGAGCCCTCAGCGTCCTCCCAAGAGTTCATCCGCTGCTCCTTGCCGCTTTCCGTCTCCCATACAATGCTGCTGCTGCTGCTGTTGCTGCTGCTGCTGTTGTTGCTGCTGCTGCTGCTGTTGCTGCTGCTGCTGCTGCTGCTGCTGCTGCTGCAGGGGCGCCTTGTGTGAGCGGCTGCAGGAGTGGGTGGAAATGGAAGCAGCTTACCGAATTGCTGTTACTCAAGGCGTTTCCCCTTTGGTGAGTTTTGCTGCTGCGAGAGCAGCGCAGCAGCAGCACCAGCTGGCAGCAGCTAGCTAGCCAACTCGCAGGCAGCAGCTAGCTAGCTCCTGGCGCTAGCTGCCACTGAGTCGCGAGCACCAGCAGCAGCAGCTAGCAGCAGCTAGCAGCAGCTAGCAGCAGCTAGCAGCAGCTAGCAGCAGCAGCTAGCAGCAGCTAGCGAGTGGCAGCTAGAGCTGCGCAGCTAGCCGCAGCTAGCTGCAGCAGCGCGGAGTCCTCGAGTAGCTAGCTGGCGAGCTCCTGGCAGCAGCAGCAGGCCTCAGCTGCTCACCCCGAACCCACGTGTGCTGTGCCCCTGCCCCTGCCGCTGCTGCTGCTGCTGCTGCTGCTGCTGCTGCTGCTGCTGCTGCTGCTGCTGCTGCAGGCGCTGCGCGGGCTGCTGCGGCTCTACGTGCGCATTGGGCTCGTGTGGGAAGCCCTGCGAGTGGCCTGCGTTGCTGCGCAGCAACTCGGCGGCCTTTGCGGCTCTTCCAATTTGCTGTTTCTCCCCGCGTGGATCACCACGCAGCTCACCAGGCTCACCCAGCGGTAAGGCCTGCAGCAGCAGCAGCAGCTGCAGCAGCAGCAGCAGCTGCAGCAGCAGCAGCAGCTGCAGCAGCAGCAGCAGCAGCAGCTGCTGCTGCAGCTGCAGCTGCAGCAGGAGCAGCAGCTGCAGCAGCTGCAGCAGCAGCAGCAACTTCAGCAGCAGTAGCAACTTCAGCAGCAGTAGCAACTTCAGCAGCAGTAGCAACTTCAGCAGCAGCTGGAGCCACAGCAGCTGCTGCAGTAGCAGGAGCTGCAGCAGGAGCAGCAGCTGCTGCTGCCGAGGGGCCCACTGGCCCTGTGCAGAGACTCAGGAAGCGAGCAGAGGCCCCATCTACACACGACGTATACCGAAAAGCTGCGCTGTGCTGCTGCTGCTGCTGCTGCTGCTGCTGCTGCTGTTGCTGCTGCTGCTGCTGCTGCTGCTGCTGCTGCTGCTGCTGTTGCTGCAGGGAAGGCATAGAGGCGGTGCTGGAGGCAGCTGCGTGCGTCCCGCAAGGGGAAATGCATCCGCTGGTGCAGCAGCAAATTGAGACTCAGCGGAGCCAGCTGCAGGCTGAGAGCTGACGGCAGCTGCAGCAGCAGCTGCTGCAGCAGCTGCAGCAGCAGCTGCTGCAGCAGCTGCTGCAGTAGCTGCTGCAGCAGGCGCAGCAGCAGCTGCAGACGCTGCAGCATGAGTCGCATGCGGTAGCTGTGCTCGGAGCTGCGGTTCGCAGCAGCCCCACAGGGGAGAAACAGCCCCGTGTGGCTCTTTTCGTTGTTGTTGCTGCTGCTGCTGCTGCTGCTGCTGCTGCTGCTGCTGCTGCTGCTGCAGCGTTTCGCCATGTGCAGTTAAACTACAGGGGGCCCTTGGGGCCCCAATGAGCGTCAGTTTGGGAGCAGCAAAATGAGCCGCTGCTGCTGCTGGTTCTTTACTTTTAAAGAGGCAGCTAAGCCTAAAAACCAGTCTGGAAGCCTCCAGTTTTGTTGCTGCAGAAGCCAGCAGCAGCAGCAGCAGCAGCAGCAGCAGCAGCGAAAATCGCAGCACGATGGCTCCTGCTGCTGCTGCAGCTGCAACAGCCCTCCTGCTGCAGCCGCAGCAGCAGCACCTGCAGCGGCTGCTGCTGCTGCGGGCAGCAGGTGCTTTTGCTGCAGCTGCAGCTGTTATACTTTTAGCAGCAAATGCCCTGCTGCTGTTTCGCTCGGCACAGCCTAAGACGCCGCTGCGGTGGTGTTTGCTGCTGCTGCTGCTGCTGCTGCTGCTGCTGCAGCAGCAGCAGCAGCAGCAGTGCAGGCTTGTTACTGACTTATGCAGCTTCTTTTGCGGCTAGACCCCAGACGGGGGCCCCACCGGGGGGGCGAGGGGCCCCTCGAAAGGGTACAGGGGCCCCTCGAAAGGGTACAGGGGGGCCCCCCACCTTCATCAGAAAGTGTGGGGTCACCCCAAGAACAAGTGCTGCTGCTGCGGCGCTTCCTGCGGCTGCTGCGCTGCAGCGGGAAGGGCCAAGAGGCCAGCGCGAGGCCTTCCAGCGTGCGGCTGCAGAAGGCCTCCTTGCTGCGGGGCCCCCGGGGGCCCCCAGGGGGGCCCCCCCGGGGGCCCCCAGGGGGGCCCCCCAGGGGGCCCCCAGGGGGGCCCCCCAGGGGGCCGCCTAGGGGGCCCCTAAGGGCGCCCCCAGGGGGGCCCCCCTGGGGGCCCCCCTGGGGGCTTCCAAGGGGGCCTCCAAGGGGGCTGCCAAGGGGGCTTGCGAAGGGGCCCCCAAGGGGGCTGCCTGAGGGGCCCTTTAGGGGGCCCCCTGGGGGGCCCCCTGGGGGGCCCCCTCGGGGGCCCTCTCGGGGGCCCCACACAGCTACTTCGAGGGGCCCCTCCGTCTTGGGTACTGCACAAAGTTTGTCTCCCCAGCGGAGAAGAGCCGCGGGGGGTTTTCTGCGAAACAAACAGCCGCGCAAACCCTAAACCCTAAACCCTAAACCCTAAACCCTCTCCGAGCCGCCAGCTCAGCCGCGCAAACCCTAAACCCTAAACCCCAGACTCTGCGCTCCCTCTGCGGAGCCAAACCGCCGCGCAAACCCCAAACCCTAAACCCTAGACTCCGAGCCCCCTCTGCGGAGCCAAACCGCCGCGCAAACCCCAAACCCCAAACCCTAAACCCTAAACCCTAAACCCTCACGGGGGCCCCTGTCCTTCTCTGCAAAAGGCCGTGGTTTTCGTCCGAGGCATTCTGTAGTCTTCATTAGGACTTAAACAACAAGGAGATAAACCCTCTTCAGCAGCAGACACAAAACCCGGAACTTCTTCGAGGCCCCCCCCCAGCACTGGCGCAGGGTTTGGCCGGCCCCCCAACCCAAGGGGGGCCCCCCGGGGCCCCCGGGGCCCCGGGGGCCCCTGGGGCCCCGGGGGCCCCTGGGGCCCCGGGGGCCCCTGAACCCCCTGGGGCCCCCGGGGCTCCGGGGCCTCCTGGGGCCCCTG